CACTATGTAGACCAGGCTGGCTTTGATATCTGCCTGCCTCTGCCTCCTGAGTGCTGGGATTAAAGGGGTGTGCCACCACACCTGGTTATTTTAATATTTTAATTATTATTTTTATTTTATGTGTACAAGTGTATTGCCTGTATGTAAGTGCACCTGGGTCATGCAATGCCCAAAGAGGTCAGAAGGGGCTGTCGATTTCCCTGGAACTGGAGTTATGGATGGTTGTTAGCTGTCATGTTAGGTGCTGGGAATTGAACCTGGGTTCTCTGCAAGAGCAGTTAATACTCTTAACCACTGAGCAATCTCTCCAGCCCCAGATGCTATTTATTTATTTGTTTATTTGTTTATTTATTTATTATTTATTTATTTAATTTATTGTATTTGAGTGTTTTGCCTGCATGTATGTAAGTGTGCCTATGCTGTGCAGTGCCCTCGGATGCTAGAAGGTGGAATCAGATACACTGGAACTGGAGTTATAAATGCTTGTTAGCAGCTGTATGTGTACTGGGAACTGAACCCAGGTCCTCTGCAAAAGCATCCAGTGTTCTTAATTGCTGAGCCATCTCTCCAGCCCTGATCAGATGCTCTTCAAATGCATTACAGATATCAGTGTACACAGTGCACTGTGTTCCCTGTTTTTTTTTTTTTTGTCTTTTCCTAAAGTCCGCAGTACTGAAATCCAAAAGGCTCCAAACATTGAAACCGTTGTTTATTAAATTTGAATAAAAATGTATTTAGTGGTAAAATCTGATCCGAACTCAGCTGTTTTGATTCTTTATTTTATGTACTGTGAGTATGTAAATGGTTTTCCAAAGAATCACTTATCTGTATTTTCACAGAGGTCTTCCCTGACCCTGGCAGAGGATGTTACATTGTGAACAGTGTGCTTACATTTCTGAAATTTATAAAATCTTGGATATTGGAAATCACCTGACTGAGGGTGACAGAACAGATTGTGGACCTGTAATTGGATTTATAGACTTATCATCTCCTGGTCTTTCCACATTGGAGGATCACATAATATTGATTAAACATGTCCCCAACAGTCACTTGTGCATAACATGATAATTTTCTATTATAAGACTTGTGATGATTACTCTGAGGTCATGGTCCTTTTCTGACCTTTACATCTATCTTTTTCTTTTTAATTAAAAAATTATTTGTCTTTTATGTATGTGTGCTGCCTGTAAGTGTGTAAGTGAACCATACGTGCAATGCCCATGAGATCAGAAGAGGGTGCTGGGTCCTGTGGAACTGGAGTTCTGGACAGTTGTTAGTCACCATGTGGGTACTGGGAATTGACCCTGTGTCCTCTGCAAATGTAGTCGGTGCTCTTAATCACTTAATCTCTTCAGCCCTTGGAGGACTTCTTGAGCCCAAGAGTTTGATACTAGTATGGACAACATAGTAAGAACTATCACATTTACAACTACATGTGGGAAACAAGGACTTTCTTCACACTGTAAAATCTAGACAAAATATAGGATGATATTGTTAGCTGTTCTTAATTGTGGATGTGTATATCATCTTAATTGTAATCATAAGTGTGTGTATCATCTTAATTGTTCTTATTGTCTTTTTTTTTTGTCTTTTTGAGACAGGGTCTCCCTGTAGCCCCAGCTGGCCTGGAACTTACTATATAGACCAGGCTGGCCTTGAACTCACAGAGATCTACCTGCCTCTGCCTCCTGAGTGCTGGGACTAAAGGTGTGTACCACCATGCCCGGCTTTATTGTCTTCTTAAATAAATACTTTAAGTATGACTTTATCGAATATTTCTATATTAATTAAATACCACTTTCATTCATTTTACACACTGGAATATCTCATAAACTTTTATTTGGAAAACATTTTATTTAGTTATAGTTACTCAATAATATAAACAAAAAAGAGAAAGAAAAGGAAAATGATAACTAGAAACTGATAACTATATTCTTAGGCTGGGTGTGTTCTCACAGGACCAAAGTCCTAGCTCTTGGGCAGTAGAGGCAGAAGGATCAAGGAGTTCAATGTCATCTTTGGTCACATAGTGAGTTTGAGGCCACCCTGGACCACATGAGATTCAAAACAATAATAAAACTATATTCTTGTGAGAACAAAAGGTGCCCTTTGAGTTGTTTCATGTAAAGAATGTAGATGGGGCGGGGTGAAGAGATGGCTCAGCAGTAAGGGTGCTTGTCACCAAGGCTTGAGATCAATCCTCTAGGACCTACATGCTGGAAGGAGAAAACTTACATCTGCCAGTTGTTCTCTGACTTCCACATGTGCACTGTGGCACATGTATGCACTCACACACATACACAAATAAATACATTTAAGTAAAAAAGTGTTTTTTTTTTTGTTATTGGTGTTTTTCTGGTTTTTGAGACAGGGTCTCCCTGTAGTCCCAGCTGGCCTGGAACTCACTATGTAGACCAGGCTGGCCTCAAACTCACAGAGATCCGCCTGCCTCTGCCTCTCTAGTGCTTGCTGGGACCAAAGGCATGTGCCACCATGCTCGGCTTGTGTTTCTTTTTTTTTGGTCTTTTTGAGACAGGGTCTCCCTGTAGCCCCAGCCTGGAACTCACTATGTAGACCAGGTTGGCCTCAAACTCACAGAGATCCGCCTGCCTCTGCCTCCCTAGTGCCAGGATTAAAGGCGTGCACCACCATGTCCAGCCCGGCTTGGGAGGCAGAGGCATGCAGATCGCTGTGAGTTTGAGGCCAGCCTGGTCTATATAGTGAGTTCCAGGACAGCTGGGGCTACAGGGAGACCCTCTCTCAAAAAGACCAAAAAAAAATTTTTATTATCTTTATTTTATGTGTAGGAGTATATTGCTTGCATGTAAGTGCACCTGTGTTGTGCCCGAAGAGTCAGAAGTAGGCATTGAATTCTCCTGGAACTGGAGTTATGGATGGTTCATGTGGGTGCTGGAAATTGAACTCAGGTCCTCTGCAAGAGCAGCTGGTGCTCTTAACTGCTGCACCATCTCTCCAGCCGTGAGTTGTTTTTTGAGACAGGGTCTCACTGTGAAGCCCTGGCTGGCCTAGAACTCCCCATGTAGACCAGTCTGGCCTTGAACTCAGAGATCCATTTGCTTCTGCCTCCCAAGTGCTGGGTTAAAAGGTGTGTACCACCATGCCTAGCAAGTAAAAATTTAAAAATTAAAAAAGAATGTACACATACACATAAATAAAAATAAGTATTTTATTAAATAAAAAAGTATGGGACTGGAGAGATGGCTCAGCAGTTAAAAACACTGACTGTTCTTGGCCCGGAGTGGTGGCCCATGCCTTTAATCCCAGCTCTTGGGAGCGGGAGGCAGAGGCAGGCAGATCTCGGTGAGTTCAAGGCCAGCCTGGTCTACATAGTGAGTTCTAGGACAGCTGGGGCTACAAGGAGACCCTGTCTTAAAAAAACCAAAAAAAAAAAAAAAAAAAAAAAAAAGAACACTGGCTGTTCTTGCAGAAGACCTAGGTTTGAATGCCAGCACCCCCATGGCAGCTAACAACTGTCTGTAGATCCAATTTCAGGGGATTCATCAGCCTCTTCTGTCCTTTGTGGGCATTTCAACACATGAGTGCACTTATATACATGCAAGCAATACATGCATAAATATAAAATAAAAATAATAAAGAAATTATTTTTTTAAAAAAGTGGAGGGGTTGGTACTGGAGAGATGGCTCAGTAGTTAAGAGTGCTTTCCTGCTCTTCCAGAGGGCCTGAGTTCTGTTCCCAGCACCTACTCAGGAAGCTCATAACCTCCTGTAACTCCGGCTCCAGGGGATCCAAAGCTCTATTTGGCTTCGTGGGCATCCACACACATGTGGCATCCACACAGACACATAAATAAAAGTTACTGTAAAAAAAAGAATGTGGGCTGGGCGTGGTGGCGCACGGCTTTAATCCCAGCACTCGGGAGGCAGAGGCAGGCGGATCTCTGTGAGTTCAAGGCCAGCCTGGTCTACATAGTGAGTTCCAGGACAGCTGGGGCTACAGGGAGACCCTGTCTCAAAAAGACCCCCTCACAAAAAAAGAATGTGGATGGAATCAGATGTGGTTGGGCCTGTAATCCCAGTACTTGGAAGGTCAAGGCAGGAGGATTGTAAGTTTTAGGCCAGCCTGAACTACACAGTAAGACTTTGCTGAAAACAACAAAACTAAACAAAACAAAAAAGACCACTGGAATGTGAATGGGATTATAGAAAAGAGAATTTATTTCACACAGTGTCTTTCTGCATTTGTGATTTTAATATTGGTTCTTAGTGGTTATCAATAATTGGTCACATATATATATATTCTTTTTTCCCATACTACACACTAAATTTGTACCTAGTGAATTCTGGGCTCAGTCTTCTTCCCCCATCTCTTTCTTGATCCAGTCCACATAGTTGAGTAATTTGGTGTAAAAGCCATATCCCTCACCGCACCCAAGGCCCCAGGACACGATGCCTGTGGCCACCCAGCGGTCATTGTTGCGGTCCCTCACTGTAAAAACACCCCCACTGTCCCCTTGGCAGGCATCATGCTTTAGAGATGGGTCCCCAGCACAGAACATATTTTGAGAAAACACATCTTTGCTCTTTTTTGTCTGGAGCCAGCTCTGGCACAAGCGCCGCTCAGCGACAGGCAGCCTGACAAACCTGAGGTCAGAAGCAATCTTATCATCCATTATCCCAAAACCACTGACATAACCCATGAGGCCTCTGTCATAGAAGGTCTCATTGTCAGGGAGGCAGATGGGGAGGAGGTTGGGACCCAAGCTGACACTATTTTCCAGCTCCAGTAGGGCAATGTCCCCTTCAAAATTGTGGGACTGGTCCTGACGGTAGTCTGGGTGAATGCTGACCCTACGAATGGGGTGATTTTGCAGTTTCATTATCTCCTCCACATTTGTGTGGCCCAGGAACACATCTATAGTGGCGTTTCGTGAGTTGTGCTCTTTGGGGTAGAGTGTGTGGGCAGCCGTGAGGATCCAGCGATCGCCCAGCAGGGCCCCGCCCCCTCGCCCATAGATATTGGTGTATGCTTGCCAGGGGAAGTTGCCCAGACTGGCTTTCTGCCCTCCGATGATGCGCTGCTTCTCTTTCACAGGGTGGACAGGCTTCCCACACACTGGAGAGACAGGGAGGACAAGGTGGAATGACCCCCAGGCCTTGGCCCTTCTTCCCTCTTGTTCAGCTTTCCCTCCCCATTCTTGGTGGCTCTGGACCTTTCTCTGTCTCTTCTCATTCCCCACACGTTCTGCCCATTATTGGAAGTGTCTCCTTGTCCTTATCTATTTCTTCTTGAGATTCTCTTACTTTTAGTTTCTGAGTCTTAGTCTGCCTAGCAAATGCTGGAACATCAGGCACAGTTTTCTGTGCTGCTCTCCTCTAACCCCTGGGATGCTCCTTCCCTCCTCCTTGTCCTAACTCATCCGTTTTATCACTTGGAGCTAAGAGATCTCCTCACTTGTCCTACTTTCTCTGTGCCATGCTTCTTCTGAGGCTGCCTTAAAGACACCCATGATGACCCCAGGGAGCAACCACTGTTTACCTGGCAGACACCGGGGCATCTTCTCTCCCTCCACTTCGTTCTTCCAGATGCCCTGGGCTGTGCAGGTGTATACTCCTGTGGATAGAAGGGGTTAGACTCAAGGTGGGAGATGATGGACAAGTAAAGCAGGCAGCAGAGGCCAGTGGGCACAGAGGGTGTGTATTGTATAGGGAGATAAGGGTCAACACAGGGATCAAAGTTAATTGGTTCAAATCTATGTGGATAGACTATGGAAAATGTTAAGACTCCATGCATATATTTAATGTCTTATTGTCAAGTGAAAAAAATCAGAATACTTAACTATATATATATATTTGAAGTGAAGCCTGTTTGTGAAAGTAAACAGAAACACTGGCAAGAATCTATGCATTTTGGTGGTGCATTTTGGTGGTGGAATTATAGATAATAACACTATGTCTTTAGGTTTCCCCTCCCTTCCTCCCTTCCTTCTTTCCTTCATTCCTCTCTCTTTTCCAGGTCTTATTGTTTAGCCCAGGATGGCCCTGAACTTGCTATGTAGCCCAAGCTGGCCTGGAACTCCCAATCTTCCTGCCTTAGTCTCCTTAGGTGCTAACATTCCAAGTGTGCACCACCACACCCAGCAATGGCTACATTTTCTGATTGCTGACAATCTTCCATGTTTGTTACTGAGTATTTTTCTTTTTAATTTTATTTATTTATTTATTTTATATGTATGCATGTATTGCCTGTTTGTAGGTAAGTGCACCTGTGTCGGGCAATGCCTGAGGAGGTCAGAAGAGGCTGTTGGATCCCCTGGGACTGGAGTTATGGACAGTTGTTAGCTGCCATGTGGGTGCTGGGATTTGAACCCGGGTCTTCTGCAAGAACAACCAGTGTTCTTAACCGCTGAGCCATCTCTCCAGCTTGTTACTGAGTATTTTTATCTCTACTATCAAGTTTAAGCACAAATTTAAGCAGTGATGCTTTCAGGTTTGTATTATCATTTTCTAGTTGAGAAAACTGGGCTTAAATAATCCCCCCTCTCTTTCTCTCTCTTCCTTCCTTTATTTCTTTTATCTTTCTTCTTTCCAGTGCTGAGGATATAACCCAGGGACTCACACATGTTAAGCAAGTGCTCTACAGCTGAGCAATATCCCCAGTATTGATTTTCCTTTTTAATTCAAAGAGAAGTTTTAGCTAGGTATAGTGGCATATACCTGTAACCCTACTTCTTAGGATGTGGAGGTAGGAAGATTAGGAATTCAAGATTATCCTTGGTGGGGCTAGAGAGATGGCTCAGTGGCTAATAGCACATACTGCTCCTGCAGAGGACTGGAGTTTAGTTTCCAGCACCAAAGGAGAGCAGTACCTGGTCCCCTTGTTTAAGCAGAAGTTAAAGGTGCCTAGGGACTTCATTAGCTCACGACTGCCTGTAACTCCAGCTTTTGGGGATCCAATGCTATCTTCTGGACTCTGAGGGTACCTGAACTCACACACACACATACCCCCCCCAAACATATACATAATTAAAAAAAAATAAATATTAAAAAATGATTTTTGGCTACATAGTGAGTTTAAGGCCAGTTACCTGATATATCATGTTTTAGAAAACAAGAGAGAAAGAGAGGAAGAGAGAGACAGAGAAGACACACACACACACACACACACACACACACACACAGAGATTAAAGAAACCCATAGGCAGGCAGGAAATTTGGCTTGGTGATAGAGTACATACTTAGCATGTATGAGACCCTAGGTTCAATCTCTAGTATTATAACAAACCAACACACCAACCCATACATGAGTTTAAGAGTCATAAATTAAACTTAAATGCAAAAAAACATAACAGCCTGAGAGGAGAGAACAGAGGGGGAGCCCCACTACAACTGTGGTGATAATGATGGTGATGGCTGTCATGGAGGTGTAGTATTGTTAGTAACAGTAGTGGTGGTGGTGATGGTGTCACTGATGTTAATTAATGGAGATGGTAGCAATGATGGTGTTGGTGGTAATGTTGATGTGGTGGTGATGACAGTGATGGTGGTGATTGTGGTATTAGTTATGGTAATGTGGTGGTGATGGAGATTGTTAATGTTGGTAGTTTTGTTGTGGTGGTATTGACAGTGCTGCTGGTGATGACTATGGTATTTGTGGTGATGGTGATGTAGGTATGATAGTGTTGATTCCTGGTGTGGGAAGTGATGATAGTGACGATGGTATTGGTATTGGCAATGGTGGCTATAGTGGTGATTGTGCTGGTATTGGTGCTGTTGGTGGTGATAATGGCATTATTATTGGCAGTGGTAGTGATGGTAATGGTTGTGGTGGTGGTGAGAGGGAGCTGCTGGTTTATGAGATTCAAGTCTTTGCTTCACATCAGCTCAGGTGCCCTTTCCTTCAAACCCACTAGATTCCTCTTGGTACTGTAATTTAGGACCTTTTAGTCAGTACCTAGGGACTCTATGAAGAAATTTTGGATGCCCCTAATAGATGTAAAGGAGACTGTGACTGTCAGAGTCCCTACCTCTAGTGGATTCACTGCTTCCAGCTCTGGTCTTCATCTTGTAATATGGTTCACGGCAGTAATACTGGATACTGGCTTCGTAGGTGTTCACTCCCTTTGTGGTGATGTATTCGAAGTCCCCATTAGAGAGGCTTCGAGGCTGCCCACAGTCCCTGACTTAGAGAGAACACAAGACTGTAAGAGAGCAGAGAACACCTGTGTGGGAACTTCAGAGGGGGAGTGAATTGTCTCTGAGATCCTCAGAAAAGTTCGGTCAAGGGTACTAGCAAAGAATGGAGTTCTCAGTTCTGGTGGAGCCCATCAAGCCTTAGATGAAGGATCAGAGATTATTGAGATAGATCATGGACTTCAAAGGACAAGCCAGGAGGCAGGAACCTTGGGGAAAGCTTAGTCTGGGACTCGCTCTTTCCTTTCTAGCTCAAGTCTCAAGACTAAGGAACAACAGGTCCCCAGGGACAGACACATTCCATTTGTGACTTACTCTTGCACCGGGGCATGGCACGATGCCATGTGCCGTCATGCTGGCAGACAGCTGTGAAGGAGAGCAGCACCTGGTCCCCCTGTTTAGGAAGTCAGAGGTGCCATTAGTACCAGGAGACATGCAGCTCCCTTCCTTGCCCTGCTCCACACTGAGTATAGGGATGTGACAATGGCTTTCAAGCTCTTAGACCTTAGCTCTGCACACATGTGGCTCCTTCTTCCTTCTCCCTAGCCAAAGCCTCTCAGTTCAGAGCTACAGATGGGATACTGAGTGCCACTGAAAGTCACAGCAAGGGCTAACTGGTAGATTTGTTCATATTCCCTTTAGACTTTTGCCTGTTTCCATTAAACTCCACAGATTGAGCCAGGCATGATGGTACACACCTTTAGTCCCAACATTCAAAAAGACAAAACAAAACAAAACAAAACTCACAGATTGTCAACCCTTCTGTTTTGCTTTGTTTTGTTTCTTTCATCACTGTGTATTAACCCTAAGGCCTCATGATTCAGTGAGCTATATTCCCAGCCCTCTTTTTTTAACCTTTTATTTTGAGACAAGGTCTCACTAGGTTACTTAGTCTTGCCTTGAACTTTCTCTGTAGTTCAGGTAGACCTGTAGCTTGTCATCTTCCTCACTGTGCAATCAAGTTCGAGGGTTGGTAGACCAGGTGATTCTTCTAGCTCGATGCTCAATGATTTCGTTTGAGAGCAAGTCTACAGGTACCGTGGACCTACCCATCTCAACTCTCCTGGAACATGGGCCTCAGCCCCAGGCTCTTACCTCCACGAGCTGGTAGCCTTGTTTGCAGGTGGCGATGAAGTAGTCACGGAACTGGTACTGAGGCTGCGGTTCCTGGATGATGGTGAACTCGTCCAGGGTCTTGGGTTGGGGACACTTGATGACTGTTAGGGAGACCAGAAGCATGTTCTTTCAGAACCATGTGTCCTTCCCTTCCTGCCTGTCCCTCAATTGCAGGCAAGTAAGGGAGATGTCTAGAAATCTCATTTTAATTTAAATTTTTGGTGCTGAAGATTGAACCCAAGGCCTCACACATGTGCAGTACAAGTTCTATCACCGAGCTATACCCTAACCTAGGAACTTCTTACTTTCAGTGGTGTAGAGCAGCTTCCAGCCCCGGCTGTCTCCAGACTCATCTGTGAAGAACAGCAGATCCACCGCATTGCTACTGGTGTCCAGGTCTGGAGGCCTTTGCTTCCCACAGAATTCGCCCAAGTTCTTCCCATTGGCATAGATCTGATGGGAGGAGGAAGAGGTGTTTGTTTCTCCAGCTGGGACATTTCCACACAGGGCTGCTTGGGCATCAGCCTGGTGGCCAGGATGTTGGTGGAGGTGGAATCCTGCCTGGTCTGTGTTTTCAACTGCAGGTGAGAAAGAGTGCCCAGATCCCTCTGCCAGTTGTGTGGTAACTTTCCTAGCTCTATGTGATGCTGGTCAGCTCTTTGTGATGTTGCCCCACTTAGCTTTTAAAAGACCCAGGAAGAAGCAGGGACCTGAAGAGTCACATGGGTCTATGAAGCAGAGGGAGGGGCCTTTAGGGCAAAGGATGGCTGTACCTGGAGCTGGTCATAGGGGCAGTGTACTTGCTGGTGGTCATCGATTTCAAAAGGCTCCAGGAACTTCAGGTGCAGAGTGAGGCCCCGTTCCACCCTGATGCTGTAGTTGCAGCGCAGATCCGGGGGGTAAGGCTGAGGGTACTCCAGGCTAGATATATAGCCCGAAGACTCTGTGTATAGTCCACTGCTGCATTCAGCTATGAGAACAGAGTCAGAGGGATCATCAGGCTGGCCCAGCAAACCTCTGCTCAGTCCCTGCCACCCTCTCATACCCATCCTGACTCACGCTGGCAAGAATGCCCATCTTTCTGAAGCTCATAGCCTGTTCGGCAGGAACAGAAGTAGCCGCCAACATAGTTGTGGCACAGGTGTTGGCACAGGGGCTGGGAACCCTCCTCCACTGAGTTGTGCTGGGATGCACATTCATCAAGATCTGGAAGGGATTCCAGAAGGAAGGATTAAATTCCTGGCCAGAGACTTCTGGAGCCAGCTGTGCTGCTGTTGTGCTACGAGGTCCTTTTTCCAGAGACTTCTGTGTGGTTCTTTCTCAAAGCGACCCTCACCAGAGGCCTGGAGACAAAGCCAACTCCTGGCCACCTGGGCTTCCAGGCCTCCCTAATGTTCTCTGGGAACTTCCCAGTGGGAACAACACCCAGGTCGACAGGCCCTTCTTGTAAAGAGATTAAGGAAAGCCAGGTTTTTGGCTCTTTGCAGCTAAGGTTGTCCCCCACCCACTCATATGGCTGAGGCCAGAAAGAAGGGCTCCCCTCAGGGACCACTCACCTACAGCTTGGTAATAGGCCAGGAAGCCCTTGTAGAACATGATGGTCCCGTTCTCCTCGTTGGAGAAGTCTGTGTGGAAGGTCAGCAGCATCTTGTTCCCTTGGGACATGAATTCCTTCTTCCCTGGGGGGTTACCCAGTGGAGACTCCAATTGCCCACAGAACCTGCCCAGGGTTTTCTTGTCAGCAGAAATCTGGTGGAGGAGGACAAGCAAGGGGTAGAGGCCCTGCTGAGGAGCCTGGTCCCCTGTGACAGGCAATGAAAGTCCTCCCTCTCTTGTCCCTGAGTAAATCATCAATGCTGGTCATAACCTGTTGGACTCTGACTGCTATAGGTACCCCCAGGGGACGCTCCCCTGGGGATGCTCATCTGTCCATCTTAGTTTTCCATGGATTTTCCTTTTGAGACAGGGTCTGCTACATAGTCTAGGCTGGCTTTGATTACATTTACTTATTGTATTTGTTTGTGTGCTAGGGGCAGGGCATGCACAGCATGGCATGAGTGTGGAGAACAGAGGACAACTTCCAGGGCTCATTTCTCTTCTCCACTCTATGGGTCCCTGGGATCGAACTCAGATTATTAGGCTGAGCCATCTTGCTGGCCCTAGACTGCCTGCCTTTGAACTTGCAATTCTCCTGCTTTCATGTCCCAACCATTAACCAACTCTTCACATGTTGTCCTGTGCCTGGCGCATCACCATCATCTTTTCCGTTTTCTGCTCCCCCTAGCAGGCTTCGATCTCTCTTAATTCCCATCACTTCCTATATCCTTCTTCCACAGGAATCCTGGCTGTGACTGATCACCCTTATCATTCCTTCGCTCCTAGAGCTTGGATTGGTCATCTTTATTCTCTGTTGTTGTCATCATTGTCTTCCTCCTCCTCTTCTTCCTCCTCTTTCCCCCTCCTCCTCTTCTTTCTCCTCCTCTTCCTCCCCTTCTTCCTCCTTCTCTTCTTTCTCCTCCTTGGTGATTTTGAGACAGGATCTTGGCCTGGGCTTGCCTTGAACTTTCTATGTAGCCCGGGCTGGCCTAGAACTCTCAGCGATTCCCCTGCCTCAGCCTTCTTAGCACTGGGATTACAGGTGTGTGGTTCTATGCCTAGCTCTGGTTTTGGGTTCATGTCATCTTTTTCAAATCTCACTTAGCCTTGCCTCCTGATATACCCAACTATGATCATATACCTGGTACCCAGCAGCCTTAGCAAGCGTTGCCTAGTATCTTTATTACTTTCCCTCACGGACTCCACTGTAAGGCAGGAGATGATAGCTTTCCCTCTGTTCTTCACTAACTGCCGCCAAATGTCTTCCCCACCACACTGCAGACTTGTGGTGTCTTCTTTGTTAGTAGATGTGTGGTTTTCATGCTGTTCCCCAAGCTTCCAGGCCATTGCTTGAGAATGACAGTTACTAGGATTGAGCAGGCTCTGCTTGAATTCTGTATCTTATTTTTCCTGAACATAGAAAGATGGGGCTGAAAAGGAAACCCCTTTGACTTTACAGAGAAGTAGGGGCTGAGATCCCTGTCCTGGCTGTAGGCCGTGTACAACCTGGTTCATTTCCTCAGGAAAACTGAGGTACAGCTGTTTCCCAGAGTCCCACAGCTAGTCAGCTAGTCATCAGCCTGACTTCTATCGATAGTGAATCTCCTGAGAATGGCTTGTGCTTCCTCTGTCATCCTCCCACCCGCCCCTACCGTGATTCTCACTGACAGCTGCAAAAACCCATGAGCACCATATCTCCCGCACCAGGAACTACAGGCCAGTGCTTCTACAGGGCTGGGCAATGTTGGTGCAGGCACCGCAGCTCAGAGTGTTCAGAGTACAAAACGTCTCCCCTCCCTCCTGATCCACGTCCTACCTTGACATAGTCATAGAAACAACCTTCAGAAGGTTCCAGATCAAACTGCCAGAAGATGAGCTTCACCCTGTATCCCGTGGGGACTGTGATCACGGTGGTTGTCTCAAAGTTGCTGGGGTAAGGCTTAGGGTACAAAGGGGAGGTCACCTCCCCATAGAGCTTCTGAGGGATGTGGATGGAGCCTCCCACCTTACAGAACAGGGTCGCCACAAGGAGAGAGAAGAGCCACCTGACAGAGAGCGAGAGAGTGTTTGTGGGGTTGCAGGGGTGGAAGCACTTCCTCCTCTTTCCCCCTCCTCCCCCTCTCCTCCTCCTTCCCATTTTGGCTGTGATGGGGCAGGGACGGGATGACCAAACTGCTCATCCTTCCCCTCTGCCCATTCTAGACTTCATAGAGATACTTTGAATGGGGGCAGGGGCAGCATCTGCAGCTGCTGCACTCATGTCCCTTCCAGACCAGTGTCCAGTCCAGAGGTCACCACACTCTCATCATGCTCCCTCCCCAAACAATCCTCCCCCACTGCCTTCTCTTTTCACTCCGTCCTCTTCCTGGAATAGGACTGGCTTGGGCCCAGCTAACTGAGGATGAGGCTTTCTAGCCATGACTCTGCAAGGGCTCCCAAGACTTCAGCAAAGGCCTCTGGGAGAAACCCTTCACAGAGTCTGGGAAACACATGGAGGATCTTATACTTGTTCAGGGGAGTACCCTTCTGCCCTGCTCCCTTCTATGAACCCAGAGCCAAGAAAAGGGAGGCAGCCCCAGCTTATGTATAAGGTCTCTTCTGATGCCCCAGAGCAGGGCTGGGAGTATGCTGCCCTGTGTATATGTGAGCATGGGAGGTAAGCACTATGGAGAGGTGAAGGGTGTTGTGTCCCTGTGCTCTTGAATAGCTGTGGTAGCAGGTTTGCCTCCTGTACCCGCTCCTCCCCCCTCCCTTGATACCCATCAGCCTTACTCACATTTCTCAAGGCCAGTTTGTTTTAGGTCCTCAGCTCTTCTGACAGTCCTTGTGCAGTGTGAGTTGAGGGAAGGAGTGGGCATGCCGAGGAGGGAAGGGGGAGGAGGGAGTGACTGTGGCAGTGGAGGGGGGGACCATTCCTGGAGGAATGTAGGGAATAAACTATTTGCATAATCAAAAAAAAAATCTAAATTTCCACTTTAGTTTTGGTTTTGAAATCCCTGTTGGTGATGCCACCTGCTGGTCTATGTGAGGAAGGGCTGAGGAGAAGGGGCTCTGAATTTTTAGGGATCCAGAATCCCTTAGTTGGAGGGCCAGGCTCTGAAGTTTCTCAATCTGATTTAAATATTTCTTCAAAGACTTTCCCGGGGGGCTACTGGCTTTTTTTCAAGGCTCCTCCCCAACGTGCAGCGGGCATCACCGCTGCAGAGACCCCTTTCAGGTAGTGCTTCTCCGCTGATCCCATTTTTTGCTGTCCTCATTTACCCAGCAGCTGTGGTGCAGGAATGGCCAGGGTGAAGTAGCAGGAACTGTGGGGTGACAGAAGGCCGGCAGGGAGCAGGAAGAGGAGAATGGGTCTAGCCACATTGGGGCCCTGGCCTGCTTTACTCATGAATGACAGTTAGCCCTGAATGGGGGGTTGCTAGGTCACAGGACCCTAAGGTATCACTGGGCTTTGAGACCCTCTCTCCCACCTTGCTGAAATCAGGGTTGCCAGTGAACTTGTCTCTCACTGAAGATAGAGCAGCCACAGAGAGGGGAGAAACATCTTTTCCTCATCATCTGGTCAGACTGAGTTTGTAAGGATATGGCTGGTTAGTGCTTTAAGCAAAGGGTGTGGTTGCAGAGCAAGAGTAACGGGTCTTTTTAGGGGGAAACCATGTTCCCGAGAGGGCTCTACTGTCCACATAGCATCCTGCTTTAAAAATTTGCTCCTATGCCAAGGCTTTCCACAGCTCCAAATACCCTATGACACTCTGTCTTGAGGGAGGCTTGGACTGCAGATCAGGCCTCCCAATTCCTGTGACTTCTGAGGCTGTCCTGCTTGTTTTCCTTCTTAGCTAAACCCTTTCATCTCTTTATCCATCTACCCACTACTCATTTATGAGTTACCTATTTTAGGTGTTAGGCTTTTTCCCAGGCCATGGATTGCAAGGACTCACAAAGATTGGGGCAGTCTCCCATCTGACAGTGACCTTGGAATGCAGCTGGAGAGCAGGCACATACAAGATGCAAGACACCAAGGTTTGGAGGGTTTCCCCGGCAGACTTGCATGTTGTAGCAGAGGCATGTTGTGGTGGGACTGGTTCATGATTTGATTATAATGAGATCCACAGCCTTGTCAGGCCAGGAAAGACAAAAGAGAGGGGGCAAAGGAGTGATTTGTACATTTGTATCCTAAGAGCAGTGCAGCAGTGCAGCAGTATGTGTGTGTGTGTGTGTGTGTGTGTGTGTGTGTGTGTGTGTGTGTATTATATGTGCTTAACAAAGGTAGAGTCAGCAGGTACAGAGAAGGTGGTCCAAGAAGGCAAGTCAGCTGAAGCAATTTCACCCATTCTAGGAGTTCTGAGCATCATGGAAGGAAGGGTTTTGAGTTTTGTCCTGATGTCATGCAACCCGACCAGAAAGTGGCAAACTTGGATCTCATCAGCTCAGATCTAGCCCCACTTCAAGGCTGTTCAATGGTTCAAATATGATCTAGATCTAAATCTACACTTAGAGATATAAATAAAGACAGAGCTAGGGGCTAGAGAGATTGCTCAGTGGTTAAGAGCACTGGTTGCTCTTGCAGAGGACTTGGGTTTGATTCCCAGCACCCACATGGTGGCTAAAACCATCCTTAACTTCAGTTCCAGGGGATCTGGCCTCTGATAGGCTTTGCATGACACATACAATTACATACATGCAGGTAAAACACATAAAAATGTCCTCTTCTGACCTCCCCAGGGATTGCATGGCAGGGGTGCACTTACAAACATGCAGGCCATACACTCATACACATAAAGGAAAAATAAATAAAACATTAAAAAAGACAGATTTAGACAAACATAAATAGATATAGGCAAATATTTTGTCTACAGAGATAGATAATTTTTAATAAAAATAAAATTTCAGGAGCCAGGCGTGGTGGCACATGCCTTTAATCCCAGCACTTGGGAGGCAGAGGCAGGCAGATCTCTGTGAGTTCAAGGCCAGCCTGGTCTACATAGTTCCAGGACAGCTGGGACTACAGGGAGACCCTGCTTCAAAAAGATGAGAGAGAGAGAGAGAGAGAGAGAGAACAACCAAAATCATGCCGCCTAAAACAATTTGTTTAGTATTTTTAGAATATTTATAATAGTCTTTTGAGCTATATATAGGCTTAAAAAGTATAAATAACAAATTGCATAGTTGGATCCCATTAATTTTTTTTCCTTAACTTTTTTTTTTTTTTTTTTTAATTTGAGGTGGGATTAAGGTACGTGACTCAGGCTGGTCTTGAACGCATGATCCTCCTGCCTCAGCACTGTGTGCTTTTTGTTTGTTTTTGTTTTTGAGACAAGATTTTGCTGTAGCCTTAGCTGGTCTGGAATTCACTATGTAGGCTAGACTGGCCTTGATCTCACAGAGATCCCCGGTGCTGGGATTAAAGACGTGTACCACCATACCAAACATTTGTTGTCTTTGGTTGGAATTGTGGGTATGTATTGCTGTGCACAACTTTGTTGCTGCAGTTTTTCAAAGATAAATGTAGTCTTTGACCATAGAATAACTTGATTCTCAACACTAACATATTTACCCTGATCTTTAGAGTTTTTTTTTTTTTGGTCTTTTTGAGACAGGGTCTCTCTGTAGCCCCAGCTAGCCTGGAACTCGTTTTGTAGACCAGGCTGGCCTTGAACTCACAGAGATCTGTCTGCCTCTGCCTCCTGAGTGTTGGGATTAAAGGCGTGCGCCACCACGCCCAGCTAGAGTACTTATTTTTTTATTTCCACTGAACAGTTGTAATTTTTTGTTTTTCACTGTAAATCACCCCAAATCTTTGCTACAAATTAAACGTGATTTTCTCAGGTAGCAATGCCCTGGATGAAGAGGGCACAAAGGAAAATGTGAGCTGTTGGTACCGTCTTCACAAAAGCAGGACTTCTCATGGAGGGAGACTGTAAGGCTACAGAGATGGGAAGGGGTAGTAGAAGATTCAGCAGGTCTTGAGGACGACTGAGAGGTATTCTGGAATGCCAGGAGGAATGCAGCCTCTCAAACAAGAATGAGCTAGGGGACTTTCCCAAGCTTGTATCGCCCTGAACCTCAGTTTCCTCACTTGTGAGAGACATGGATAATAACACACCCTTTGTTAACACAGTGTGAGGACTGAGTGAAATAAAATGTGATGCACCTGGCATACAGAAAATGCAAAACAAAAAAGGAAGAATTACTATTATTGCAGGTAGGAGCTGTGGTAGATGATGAAGCCAATTACTTGAATATTTGAAGGTCAATGTAGGGGCTGGAGAGATGGCTCAGCAGCTAAGAGCACTGTCTGCTCTTGCAGAGGACCCAGGTTTGATTCCCAGCATCCACATGGCAGCTAACAACTGTCAGTAACTCCAGTTCTAGGGGATTCAATGCCCTCTTCTGACCTCTGTGGGCATTGCACGACACAGGTGCACTTACACACATGTAAGCAATACACTCACACACATAAACAAAAAATAATAAATAAAAATTTAAAAAAGTCAATGAAAGAGTTGCTGGAATATTTCAGAAACAAAATGTAGTTAAAACCCTTCTTCCATGCTCCATCTGAGCAGGGGGTGAGATGGTGACTTCCAAGGGTGGGTACAGAAGAAGCTGTATCAGCGGATGAGAGATGAAGCAGGGGGACTCAAAAAGATGCTCAAGGTGATGCAGCCAGGTTCAACAGTGTATGCCTGTAATCCCAGCACTCGGGAGGCTGAAGGAGTTTTGCCAAGAGTTTGAAGCCAGCTGTAGCTACAGAGTAAAACCTTGTCTTGAACAAACAAAAAGATGTTCAAAGTGAGTTTCTTAGAGGTACAGGGCTTCCCTGGCGTACAACAAAGGAAAGTAGATGGTAAGGAGGAGGGGGTGAGGCGGAGGGGCAGCGGGGTGCTGCTTCCTATGTGGGATGCTGTAGGTCAAGGGGTGGAGGCTTTCTCTTGCACAGTGGCTTGCTGTATCAGTGACTTAAATAGGCTTCCCTGCCCTAGGAGAATCCTCACTCCTGTCCATTCTTGGCCACCGCTCAGGTGCCCCAGGATTAGTCCTTGCTGTCCATTACTCTTTTGATCCAATCCACATAGTTGAGCACTTTGGTGTAGAAGCCATACCCCTTGCCACAACCGATGCCCCAGGATACGATGCCTGTGGCCACCCAGCGATGGGCATAATCATCCCACACCACATAGACGCTACCACTGTCCCCCTGGCAGACACTATTCATCTGCATCTCGTTCCCAACACAGAACATGTTGTCAGAAAACACCTCTGTCCGCTGTTTCTCTCGGAGCCAGTCCTCACAGGCTTCCCTGGGAGCTATGGGTAACCTCGAGTACCTCAACTCTGTAGTTAACCAGCCCATCTCCACACCAAACCCACTGACATAACCCCACAGGCCACTTTGGTAGAGGGTCTTATTGTTGGGCAGACAGACTGGGAGGATGCTGGGGCCCAGGGGGACTCTGTGTTGGAGCTCCAGGAGGGCAATGTCCCCGTTGAAGTTGTGAGATTCATGCTGTTGGTAGTCTGGATGAACCACAATCCGACGGACAGCGTGATTCCCCAATTTCAGCAGCTCATCTACATCCGTGTGACCCAGAAACACTTCCACACTCTGGTTCTTCCTGAGATAGATGCTGTCCTTGGGGTAGATGGTGTGGGCAGCGGTGAGGATCCATCTGTCACCCAGCAGAGCTCCACCTCCACGGCCATAGATACTGGTAAAGGCTTGCCAGGGGAAGTTGCCCCTTTTAGCTCGGGAAGAACCAAAAGTCTTTGAGTTTGGGACAATGGGGATGACCGGCCTTCCACAGACTGGGAGAGAGGAGAGGTAAGAGGAACAATCAGTAAGTCAGAAGGCATATCCATTAGATTAGAGGTCTGTGAGATGCTATGGTGGGTGTGAGAAGGGTCTCAGGTGTGGCTCTGTCCAGGTCCAGGACAAGGACCTTACACAAGTGAACATCACAGGTACTGATGTGAGCAGTGAATCAATCCTGACATTGTGAGGCAGGTATCCTGTGCTGGAAAGGGCAGTGGACTGAGGGGTGGAGTGTCTGGAGGAGCATATGTTTGGGGCTAGCTTTGCTGAGTCCTTCCTCCTGCTGCCTTGGCCATCTTTAAGCCATTCTCATTCCTTAACATTCAATGGGAACATCTTTGGGCTACACCACACTGCAAGCAGGTTTTGTCTTCAGGGCCTCTCGCTTCTGTTTCCTGTGTCATTCCCTTATTTGTATCATCTCCCACAACCTCCACCTTCCAACCTAACTTCCTTTGGAGTGTTCTGTGGGTCAGATTGAGTTCCAGAGGGAGTGCTTTCATTTGAAAATGCAGATTTTTGCCAGGTGCGTTGGTGCATGCTTGTAATCCCAGCACTTGGGAAGCACAAGCAGGAAAACCAGGAATCTGAGGACATTCTTGGTTACACAGGGAGTTCCAGGCCAGCCTGGGCTAAATGGGACTCTATCTCAAAAACCAAAAGAAACAAAAATAATGAAATGCTGTGATATGATGGATGAACCTTGAAAGCATTATTGATTTATTTTTTGGTCTTTTTGAGACAGGGTCTCCTTGTAGCCCCAGCTGGCCTGGAACTCAATATGTAGACCAGGCTGGCCTTGAACTCACAGAGATCCACCAGCCTCTGCCTTCCAAGTGCTAGGACTACAGGTGTGTGCCACCACTCACGGTCTGAAAGCATTATGTTTAAGAGAGAGAAGTCAGGGTCTGTTGAGATTGCTCAGTGGTTAAGAACACTGCCTGCTCTGGCAGAAGACTGGGGTTTGATTCCCAGCACCCACATGATGGCTAGCAATCATCTGTAACTCCAGTTCCAGGGGGGTCTGACACTTTCTTCTGACCTCTACAGGCATTGCACAACATGGGTGCACTTACATGCATTCAGGCAATATACTCAGATACATAAAATAAAAATAATAAAATATTCTTAAAAATTAAAAGAGAGAGAGAAGTTGGTCATAAAAGATCTCATATTATATGATTCCATTTGTACAAAATGTCCAGAATGAGAAAATCCATAGAGGTAGTTACTAGGGGATGGGGGAGAGGAGAGTTGGAGGTACTGTTCTGTATATGGAGAGTGTGTGTGTATGTGTGTTTGTGTGTGTGTGCACATGTAGGCCAGAGGTCAACCTTAGCTGTTTTTACTCAGGTGCCCTTCACTTGTTTTGAAGACAGGGTTTCTTACTGGCCCTAGTACTCATAGATTATACCACTGGTTTGCCAGTGAGCCCCAGGGCTCTTCCTGCCTTCATCTCCCCAATACTGGGATTACAAGTGTGCTCCATCACACTTGACTTGCTTATTTTATTTATTTATTTATTTATTAATTATTTATTTAATTTAATTTATTTATTTAATATGTATGAGTGTTTTGCCTGCATGTATGTAAGTGCACCTGTGTCGTGCAATATCCATGGAGGCCAGAGGAGGGCGTCTGATTCCTTAGAACTGGAGTTGACTGCTGAGCTCTCTCTTCAGCCTCTCCTCCCACCCTTTTTTTGAGACAGGGTCTCACTATGTAGCCCTGGCTGGGCTGGAACTGGCTATGTAGGTCAGACTGGCCTTGATCTCACACAGATTCACCTGCTTCTGCTTCTTGAGTGCTGGGATTAAAAGTGTGTGTCACCACACCCAGCTATTTTTAATGCTTTTCTGTTGAGAATGTACTGAAAAAATACCGAATCATGCTCTTCAGATTCGGTATCCCCAAAAACTTCTATTTGAAAGGCAGAGGGGCTGGGCCTGTGGCTCAGTGGCAGAGTGCTTGTCTAGCATGAGACCCTATGTTCAAGCTCTAGCACTGAAGAAACAAAGATGTCAGGCATGGTGGTGCACACACACCTTTAATACCAGTCCCTGGGAGGCAGAGGCAGGCAGATCTCTGAGTTTGAGGCCAGCCTGTACTACATAGTGAGTTTCAGGCCAGCTGGGGCTAAAGGGAGATCCTGTCTCAAAAAAACAAAGTAAGAAAAGGACAAACAATGATACAGCCGCCGCCGCCGCTGCTACAAGGCTCGTGTGGGGAGACGGATTTTTGAAGGTCAAAGAACCCATTTATGCTCTTAAGATACACCATACAGGGCTGGAGAGATGGCTCAGCAGTGAAGAGCACTGACTGCTCTTATAGAGGTCCTGGGTTTGATTCCCAGCATCCACATGGCAGCAAACAACCATCTCTAACTCCAGTTCCAGGAGACACCTTTTATGTCTTCCTTGGGCATTGCATGACAGGGGTGCACTTACATACATGCAGGCAATACACTCATACACATAAAATAAAAAATATGCCACACGAAATTGTGTCTCCTTTCTCTCTCTCTCTCTCTCTCTCTCTCTCTCTCTCTCTCCATGTGTGTGTGTGTATGCGTATCATTGTGGATTGAATTTAGGACCTGTGTATGCTAGGCAAGTTCTCTACCACTAAGCTATCCCGCCAGTCCTCTTAGACATATCTTGACCTTTGAAGAATGAGGGACAAGCTCCTTGATGCTTCTTTTCTGGGCTTTCTTGACGTCCCTTTTCTTCCTAGCCTTCTGCTTTCATTTCCTTTTTCTATTCTAATGCTTTCCTTTTGTCCCATAGCTCACAGTTCCCAGTTACAGCCAAGGTTTGCTGGAGATGTGGCCACCGGAGCAGCACTGGGCAGGTAGCTACTCACCAGGCACACACTGAGGAACCTCCTCTCCATCTTGTTTGTCTTTCCAAGTCCCCAGGGCTGGGGAGCTGAGTGTCTCTGAGGAGCAAAATGAGGGGAAGCAAAGAAGTAAGCTCAAAATTGGGTGTGTCAGGCTAATAGAGTAGGTGCTTAGAGGGCCTCCAATCTTTGGGTTGGGAGTGAGACAGATAGAAACTGCTTCCTCAGCAGGTGGGGACTCACCAGCTGGTTCTGCCTCATAATAGGGGTGCTGGCAGTGCTTCTGGATCCTGGAATGGTCAGCTGCAGGTGTGACAGCCTCAGAATCTCCACTGGCCTGGGTCAGAGCTGTAGGAAAACAACAGTCCCTAGGGCCTCATACAGACTTGAAAACCGGCAACCCAGGGGCTGGTTCTGCCCATGGCTATATTTAGTATAATATATTTTAAAAAAAGATTTATTTTTAAAATTATTTTTTAATTATGTGTGTCTATGTGGGGGTATGTGCAGGTGTCCAAAGAGGCCAGAAGAGGGCATCAGATCTGGAGTTGGAGTTATAGGAGGTTGTGAGCCACCCAATGTGGGTGCTGGGAACGGAACCTGGGTCCTCTGTAAGAGCAGTACATACTCTAAACCATTGAGTTATCTCTCTGCCCCTGCACAACTTTAAAACAACAACAAAAACAAACAAAACATTCATACTAGTTTTTTTTTGTTGTTGAACTTTTTGAGACAAGATCTCCCTATAGCCCCAACTGGCCTGCAACTTACTATGTAGATGAGGCTGACCTTGATCTCACAGAGATCCGTCTGCCTCTGCTTCCCAAGTGCTGCAAGTGCTGGGGTTAACGTTGTAAGCCACTAGGCCCAGCTTCAAGCTAGTTTTTACTGATCAGAGTTTTTATTTTTTTTCAACATTCAGAGAATTTGGAAATAACCATAACAAGTAAGGTATGGACAAACTGGCCTTTCCAAGCATGGCCGGTGGGAATATAAATTAGCAAAACCTTTTTTGGAGGGAAATTGATCAACTTCAAAATTGAAAAATGCAAATGTTTTATAATCAAGTATTTAAATATCTAAGAGTTATCCAAAAGAAATTTTCATGCATGTGCTCAAAGATGTATATGCAAGAATGGCCACAGCCATGCTGTTTATAGCAGCAAAATATTTATCAAAATATGTGATTAAATACATTAGAACATGTCCACCAAAAATTACGTGTCATTAAAAAAAATGAGTCAATGCTAACCTTGTACATATAAGATGGTCATTAAGACATATTGATCAGAGGCAGAGGCAGGTGAATCTCTGAGTTCCAGGTCAGGCAGGTCTACATAGCAGGTTCAAGGCCAGTCAGGGCTACATAGTGAGACCCTGTCTCAAAAGAACCAAAATAAGGGGGCTGGGGAGATGGCCCTGTGTTTAAGAGCACCAGCTGCTCTTGCAGAGGACCTGGGTTTGATTCCCAGTACCCACATGACAGCTAACAACTGTCTGTAACTCCAGTTCCAGGGGAATCTGATGCCCTTTTCTGACCTCTGTGGGCATCGCATGACGCAGATGTGCTTACATACATGCAGGTAATACATTCATACACATAAGAATAAAAATAATAAAATCAAATATTAAAAAAGAACCAAAATAAAAAAAAGCACCAACAAAATCAAAACTCAAAACATATTGAATTTTAAAAGTGCCAAGTTCAGAACGTTTTGTATAGGATGCAACAAACAGGCATGCAGTTGATCTTCAAAGAGTGTGGATGTCCTGGGACGAATATCTGGAAGATGGAGGCAAGGCTGTTTCTGGACAGGGTAGCCAGAAATGAAGACCAGAGATCAGATGAAGGCTTACTTTTAGCATACCTTAATTTTTTAATATTCATTATGTGCAAGCATTATTATTTCAAAACATGAGCTACCATTTGAAAATGTAGATTTTTCACTTACAAACTGGCTTTCTCATTTCTCTTGATCTGTACAATGGGCCTACAAATGTTCTTGGAAATAATAGCTAGGGCCAAGCAATGGCCCCCTCTTAAAAAATTTATTTATTTATTTTAATATTTTATTATTTTTATTTTATGTGTATGAGTGCATGGGTGCATGTATGTGAGTGCACCCATGTTGTGCAATGCCATGGAAGTTAGAAGAGGGCTTTGGATTCCCCTGGAACTGGAGTTAAGGATGGTTCATAGCCACCATGTGGGTGCTGGGAATCGAACCCGGGTCCTCTGCAAGAGCAGTCAGTGCTCTTAACTGCTGAGCCACCTCTCCAGCCCCTATTGATTTATTTTTATATTACATGTATGCCTCTTTTGCCTACATGTATGTAAGTGCACCTATGTCCTGCAATGCCTGAGGAGTCCAGAAGAGTATGTCAGATCCCCTGGAATTGCAGTTACAGACAGTTGTTAGCGGACAAGTGGGTGCTGGGAACTGAACCTGAGTCCTCTGCAAGAGTAGCCAGTGCTCTTAACCACTGGACCATCTCTCCTAGCCCCTGCCTTTTGTAAAATAATACTTATTTTTACTTTATGCATATGAGTATTTTGCCTACATGTACATGAAGTGCACCACCTTCACACAATGCTGGCCAGAAGAGGGTGCCAGATCCCCTGGAACCGGAGTTATAGATGGTTGTTAGCCACCATGTTGGGGTGCTGGGAGTTGAACCTGGGTCCTCTGAAAGTATAGCCAGTGTTCTTAACTACTGAGCCATCTCTCTAGCCCCCAATGGCTGCCTCTTAATTGGGCTGCTCACTAGTAAGGTCAAGTCTGGGGCAAGGACAGTCAGCTCAGGTGTCTCTGAGCCCTGAAATCCAGCTGTCATTCATGCTTCCACTTGGCCCTTTAAGGCACCAAGGGCCAGGGTTAGGGCCACAAAGGCTCCCTCCTTCCACCCTAAGAGGAACACTTACCTACAGCTTGATAGAGGGCCAGGAAGCCCTTGTAGAGGTGGGTCTTGTTGTTGGAGGAAGAGTGTGCTTGGAAGGTTAACCGCAAACTCCTCTCTGAGGATACAAACTCTCTGTTATCAGGAGGGTTGCCGAGAGAGGATCCCTGTTGCCCACACAGGCGGGTTGGTTCCATTCTACTGACTGAAATCTGAAAGGGGAGCAGGGGCAGGAAGTGTGGGACAAATCTGCACTGCAGAACACAGGGTGCAGGGTCGTGTCTCATCACTGCAGCTCCATCTGGAGGGATGGGTGCACTTCTCTGGGGCTCAGAATCTGTTCATACTGAAGTCTTCCTTAAGTAGCTTCTTTATTTTTATTTTCTGTGTTTTAGTGTTTTGCCTGCATGTTTGTAAGTGCACTATGTATGTGCAAATGCCTGCAGTGGCCAGAAGAGGGTGTCGGATACCCTGGAACTGGAGTTACAGACAGCTGTTAGCTGCCATGTGGGTGCTGGGCATTGACCAGATGTTTTTAAACACAGGATTGCAGATGTGTGCTATATATCTGGTTTATTCTGGGTTTTTGACTGTTTTGTTTTAGGCAGAGTTTCACTCTGTAGCCCAGGCTGACCTAGAACTCACTAAGTACCCAGGCTCACCTTGAACTTGTGGCAGTTTCTGCCTTGACTTCCCAACCATGACTGGCTGATCTTGGATTCTTTCAGGTTCTCTATTCTCTCATTTCCCACAAACTCCAAATTTCTATAAGAATTAATTCAGCCCATCTCCCTATGGTCACATTAACTGGGAAAAAGCTGACAGGAAAACATTCTTCAATTACCCTAAATGCCTTGCTCAGACATGTCCCAATACTGATATCAACAAATGGAACGCCTCACATTTAAGAAGTAGAAAGCACTTGGTATAGAAACTATTGATCCACTTGGGTGAGAAACCCTTCCCTTCCCCTCTCTCCCCTCCCCTCTCTCCCCTCCCCCCTCTCTCCTCCCTTCTTCCTTTTACTTCCTTCCCCTTTTCTTTCCTCCTTTCTTTTACGTCTTCCTTCCTCCTTCCCTCCCTTCCTCCTTCCTTCCTTCCTTTCTTCCCTCTCTCTTCCTTCCCTCCCTCCCTCCCTCCCTCCCTCCTTTTCTTCCTTCCTCAGCATATGTAGCCCAAGCTAGCCTTGAACTTGCTATGAGGCTGGCCTTGAACTCCTGATCCTCCTGCCTCTACCTGCTAAGTGTTGGGATTATAGATGTGCACCATCACATCTGGCTAACCATCACTTTCCTTTTTACCCCTTTTCATGAATTGTTTGATAAATAAAATTACTTTTGTCTTCTAGCTCATAGGCAGAGTTAACATATAACCAACAGTAGCAGAATCATGCTAAATTAGAGCCTAACCAACGCCCTGAGGGACATGGGAGTTTCTTAACTCCCTAAGATCTTGGCTTCTTCTAAGAATAAAACTTCCTATAAAATGGCCCATGAGGTCTCATCCTATGACAATGTCTGCACATAAGCAGGGCTGACATGGTTCGGAACACCTGCCCATTCAAAATTCATTCTGTCCTGAGACCTGCACACAGGATAAGCTTAGATTTCATTTAGTCTTCCTTTTATTTTTTATTTTATTTGCTATTTTTATTTTATTTGTATGACTATATTGCATGCATGTAGGTAGGTGCACCCATGTTGTGCAATGCCCTCAGAGGTCAGAAGAGGGCGTTGGATTCCCTGGAACTGGAGTTACGTATGGTTGTTAGCCATCATGGGTGCTGGGAACTGAACCTGGGTCCTCTGCAAGAGTAGCCAGTGCTCTCAATCACTGAGCCATCTCTCCAGCCCCTCATTTAGTCTTTGAATCAACACTTATTATGTACTGTATGCAAGATATTATGCTAGGTGCTGAGGGCATGAACATGACAAAGACATAGTTCTGTCACTGAGGATCCCACTGTCTGGCTAAGGATGCCTGCGTATGAAAAATAAACTAGATTGCAATATGTAGAGTTCTGCATTTAAGGTGTATGTGATTTGCTCTGGGAGCAGAAAGGAGAAACCCTATCCCTGAACTTGAATGCTTCAATGACAAGGGAAGAGTTAATCCAGGATTAAAATTTTCCTTGATTTAAGGGGAACTGGGTTCATAGTAGGTACTCAGTAGACACAGACTGAATTGAATATAACATAACAGTTAAATCAGAAGCAATCAATAGAGCTGGGCGTGGTGGATGCCTTTAATTCCAGCATGTGGGAGGCAGAGGCAGGGGGCTCTCTATGAATTTGAGGCTAGCCTGGTTTACTAATGAGTTCCTGGTCAGCTGGTGCTGCAGGGAGATCCTGTCTCAAAAAGACCAAAAAATTTCTGCACTATTGGATAAAGGGGGCCGTGAAGCTATTTGGAAACCAGTTTCTTTCAAGAAGAAAAGGAAGAAGAAGAAGAAGAAGAAGAAGAAGAAGAAGAAGAAGAAGAAGAAGAAGAAGAGGAGGAGGAGGAGGAGGAGGAGGAGGAAGAACTAGAAACTGCAGCAGCAGAAGCAGCAATAAATATTCGTATTTCTTGCATCTATGGGTAGAGCTCTTGCCTAGCATGTTAGAAACCCTGGGTTAGATCCCTGGTTATTGCTCCTTTCTCTTAAGGACTTACCACATGCCCCAATTAATTATCTGTTTTCCTACTTCAATGCCACACATAATCAAGGACAAGGACAAAAGACTAAGAGAAGACCACAGTTACTAACAGGTGTTGACAACATTTTGGAAGACAGAATGCAGATAGAGAAGCGGAGAACTGAGTTTGCAAAGGTGAAAACCAACATAAAGCAAGCAGGATCTCATCATAGAACCGTGCAATTTCAGGATTCAGCAGAACTTTTAGGAACCTTTTAGGGAAAAATAAAAAAAATGGTTAGGTTGATAAGAGGTCACCAGACAGAAAGTCTGGGTAGGAAGACCTCAGAATGCTAGATCTTCATTCCCACCGTGTAGATTCAGGCAACTCTCTCTGATTCACTCTGGGAGAAGATATGAACTTAAATCAGAAACACTGGATTTGGGGCCCCTAGGTACAGTACTTGACAGAGACAGTAAAGACCAGTATTGAAAACAGAGATATAAAGTGAAAGTCTACCAATTGATCAGTAGAGGCATCCTCCTCTCTGACCCCCTTTCCCAGCTGGTTTCCAGAACTGGGAGCCCTGAGTAGAGACCTCTCTGGGGAAACTGACTGTGCAAAGAAAATACTTCTACACACCAACCTTCTGGAGGATCCCAAGGCACATATGCTACCCTTGGTCACCCTAATATAGCCATCTGCTATTATTTGGATATATACTCCAAAGCTCACATTGAAATTTAGCTGCCATCCAATAGTGTTAAGAGGTGGAACTCTTAAGAAGTAATTATTGGATTTGTGTCTTTATTGTGGGAATGGGTTAGTTATTGTAGAAGTGGGTTCCTAATGAAAAGATGAATTAGAGCCGGGCATGGTGGCACGTGCCTTCAGTTCCAGCACTTGGGAAGCAGAGCCAGGTGGATCTCTGTGAGTTCAGAGCCAGCCTGGTCTACATAGCAAGTTCCAGGCCAACTGGGACTACAGGGAGATCCTACCTTATTTTGATATATCACAGTGAAAGATTTATCGTCCTCTTTTTTTTTTTTTTTTTTTTTTTTTAAAAAAAAAAAAAAAAAAAAAAAAAAAAAAAAGAAAAAAGAAAAAAGAATTAGGCCTGATTTTTCTGTCTCCTGCCTGCTTGCTTACCCTTCCACCATATTACAATACAGCATGAGGCCCTCTCCATTGCCAGATGCTGCACCATACCCTTGGACTTCCCAGCCTTTAGATCATGAGCCAAATAATCTATGGTTTATAAATGATTCAGTCTATGATATTCTGGTATAGCAGCAGAAAATGAACTGAGGCACTATTTTCAAGCTCATCATTTGATAAATTTTAGCTATTCATATAGAACTTTAAATCAGTAGTCTTGGGGGCTGGAGAGATGGCTCAGAGGTTAAGAACACTGGTTGCTCTTGCAGGAGACCCAGGTTCGAATTCCAGAACCCACATGGCGGCTAACAACTGTCTGTAACTCCAGTCCCAGGGGATTCAACAGCCTCTCTTCTGACCTTCTTGGGCATTGCATGACATGGGTGCACTTACCTACATGCAGGCAATACACTGCATACACATAAAATGAAAATAAATAAAATAAAAAAAAAAGAAATCAGTAGTCTAGGGTCTTTAAATCAGTAGTTTAGTGTTTTAATTTTAAATATAAACAGACAAGCAAATATTATTGGAAATTGTAGGAAAGTCTCTCAGACAAAAAAAGCTGAGATAGAGGCAGGCAAATAGTGAAAAGAGACTGATGAAATAGTGATAATACAAAAGAAACGTAAAAATCATCTCCACTGGGAGGGAACAAGTAGAACAAGTCCAACCGTCTGTAACGCCAGTTCCAGGGGATCCGATGCCCCATTCTGACCTCTACATCGCACAACATAGGTATGCTTACATGCATGCAGGAAAACACTCATACACATAAAATAAAAATAATAAATATTTTTAAAGAGGAACATGTAAAAAGTAAGAATGAGCCACTTTATCTTTATCTCGGGGGCGGGCAATCAACAGCTGTCTAACTGGACTAAAGGCCTGCTCAATAGGAAAGAATCTATGCATGGTTCTGTAAACAGAGCCATGTACCCTTGGTTGGAGCAGTCACAGACACTGCAGAAGAAATTACTACTGTCACTTTCCTAAACCAATGTAATTTCTTACTATATTTTAAATACTTATTCTTTTTTTTTAGATGCAAGGGGGATAAATACTTATTCTTATAGTCACAGATAAGTGTAGCTCTCACCACTCATTAAAGAAACTTCATTGAGATCACCAGAGAGTACCAGGTCTGGCCTCCCTCTGGCCTCCAGCTACCAGAGGGCCTGACAACCCCTGGATCCTGCCTCCACATGGTGGTCCTTTTAATAAGGTGATGCTATACAGGAGTCCCTTCTGCATGAAATAACTACCATCATCATGATTTCCAACTGAGCCTGATTGCTAAACGTAGTCACAATTGGGCTTGTTGACAGTTGTGCTCATTCATTAAAGGAATGCCAAGCAGGGTCACTGGACCCTCACCTGACTATCCAGCCACTCTTCCCAGCCAACTAGACCAGCCTTGGAAGACAAAAGAAAAATGAGGAGGAACCCAATAGAGGGATGCTTTTGTCAAGATGCCCTTGTCAAGAAACTCCAATGGACTCTCATATGAACATTTGAAAACTGCCCCATTCTGACTTTTTTCTAGTTCCCTGTCTAGAACTTGTAATGCTAATTACTCTTGCCTT